GATTTTTAAATCAAATCAAATTCAAATAAGCCTAATATTTGATAGATTTGATTTTGAAAAACATTAGCCTGTAGTCTGCTCTGTACATTGAGTCTAACTGTCATTATCCCAGACTTCCAGATAAATAGGCTTATTCGCCTGTCTACTTACTTCATTCTCCCTGCCAACTACTTTGGATGTATCTTTTGGTAGAATGGCAGCTGCATCTATGAGTATAGAAGACAAGTTTATTGAAAAAAAGATACTTCTTTCAAAAAGTGAGACTTATTAATGAGGAAAAGAATTTGAAAAGTAATGTTGAATTTTTCACGAAGACACTTATCTGCCTTAGGATAGATGATTTTACAATAATATTTAACTATTTGGAGATATGTAAAGCATTGATTATAGGTGTCAAATTATGTTATGATTCTTCAAGAGAGTCATTACTAATAGGTTGTTTTGTAAATAATTCAATAGCTTTATATTTTTCTAGATCTGCAATATTAAGATTTATCATTGCATTTCTTTGATATACTTCTAAATACATATAAAAGAAAAGACTACATCTACTTGGGTTGGTTTCTACTATATTAATCACATAGTGAGATTTCTCAACAGAGGTTGCTAATTCATCAAGTATTTTAGTTAAGATAGACTTGAAGAGAGTAGCCCCATATTTGCTATCTTTAAGAAAGATAGATTTGTCTATTTGGAGTTCTTTTGTTAGCTATTCATCGAATGAGTCTTTAAGAAATTTCTTATAAAGCTTATTAAAGTTATATTTGTATAGTATTTTTTGAGTATTATTTTGTATTTTTAGTTCTATTGTTGGTGATTTGCCTTTATCTTCAGGTTCTATTTTTTTTTAAATATTTATATAGCGTATCTGAGCATGTGAGTATATGGTGGTTAGCATGTCTGATGCAGTCATTACAATGTTCTTGAAAGAAAGAGGGTTGATAATGAAATCATTATTGGAATTAATTCTTTAAGATATAAAATGAACTATTGTCTAAACTGGTATTTTAAAGAGTTGCAAACTTTTGTTTTGTCAAGAGCATCACTAAATTGTCAGCTATATTTAGTATAGAATGACTTAAGCTATTTATTGAAATGCTCAAGGAAGTTTTTTAGAGATGGTATATTGAATTTTTTTAGAAAGAAGGTTTTAGAAATATTAAAATAGATTGTAATATTGAATCTGCTATCTATATATATCTTAAGATATTTGTCTTTTTTGTCATAGTCAATAACTTGTAATGTGATTTTAAATCGCTTAAGACATAATTTTATATCTTTTGAAAACTTGGCATAGTTGATGGTTTGGTAATTATTAAATAGGTATAAGTGTAATTAAGCAAAATTAATACAGAATTGTAGTCTGTTTTGTGGTTTGTGAAGTAGAACTGTTGCAGATGAAGCAAAAATCTCAGTATAGTTAAGTTTGGTAAAGAGGACTGTTGTAAAAACCAAAATGAGTTTCTTAAGTATTTTTTCTAGAACTGAGAAAAGGATAGTAAAGGCTTTGTCGATATCTGGATTGTATTCACGTATAAAGTCTGTTAAGAATTGGAGGTTTTTTTCTGCCATTTTGCAAATAATTTGGTAGAAGCTAGCTTTAAGAGCTTTACAGTTTGCTGTTGCTGTTTTAATCTCTTTGCCTGGATAGAAATTAAAGAGATGTAATTTCAGTAAATAAAAAGTTTTTTGAGCAAGCTCTGTTTGAAGGTTTGTGTTTTTTCTATTTTTCTTTGTGACAGGAAATTTGGCCAGCCAGTCAAGTGTTGGTTTGATTTGGTCTGCAGTAGGATTTTAGTTATTAGCTTGTTGAGATTGTTGTGAAAGTTGTTGATATGTGTCATCAATTAATGATTGTTGTTCAGTATTATTCTGATATAAAGAAGATAACTGTTGAAGTATTAAGTTTAGTTCTTTTGAAGAAGTATTTTGGTTTTGTTGAGAGTTACTAGTACTAATATGAGTGTTATTTGAGTTACTAACTGGCTGTTGCTGTTGGGTCTGTTGTTGCTGTATTGTCTGCTGAGATTGTTGTAGTTGAGTATTAGAAGTTTGAGAAAGAATAGATTTAGATTGCTCTGAATATTCAGCAGGAGGTTAAAAATGTAGTAATGGTGGTAATTGTCAGGATAGTTGGTGTTAAAGAGCATTAGGTGCTTCAGTTAACTTAGATTTTGATAATTCTAACTTTTCTATGTAGATAAGTTCGTGGTGGTAGTTAGTAATATTAGGACTACTTCTAACAGGAGTATCTTAGTCTATATCTATTTCATCTGAGCTTTCAGATAAGGATATTAGAAGACTAAGTTTTGAGACTAAAAAGTTATAGGCATGAAATTTATTAAGTGATTGTCTCAGTTTAGAGATAAAAATACAGTGCCTGTTTTTTAGAGAATCCACATTGTGGATTTGAGAGATTTTCTACACAAGATCTATGTTAGGTAATCTTTGCATTCAAAAATTATATTTCTCAATGTTCAATCGAAGTCCAGTCTGTCTGATTCTGATAAAAACTTCTCATAGGTAAACTAAGTGATCATCAAAGGTTTTGGAGAATACAATAGTATCATCTAAGTAGACTACTACAAATCTCCATGCTATCT